GACCACCCACCCCGCCGACCCGCGCGTCCGCGCGCTCGTCGACGCACCGTCTGCCTAGTCTACGCAACTCTAGTCCAGGCCAGGCCGCGGCCGGCGTCAGGGACCTCTCCCCGCCGATGCCATTGCGACCTGGCCGACCTCGGAACCTAACACCCAGCCGCCGGGTACCCAACTCTCTCGCTGCCTTTGGCGGCGAGCGAGGGGTTCAATGTCTTCTTGTTTTATGTTTTATGGTTATTTTGTTTAAATTTTTGATGGAAAAAAAAAAAGATTAAAAAAAAAAAACTTTGTCCGACCTACCGACTCTATGCTGAAATTTCATGTTATCGGACACACACCATCTTTTTTGTTTGGCCTTATTACAGTAACTGCTGGGTTACTCTACGAAACAATTTTTAAAAGTAACATCGAGTACATTATGTATCTTAATGAATTAATCCAATTGCAGTTCCTTCACGAATTTCTAATTTGTTCTTGACATGCCGTTTAAGACATTTGCAAAAAGCTTCCAGAAACTCTTCTTCCAGAGAGGCACCATTTATGTTTACAGCAGATGTGATTGCTCTCAGACTGCAAGGGAAGCTCAGCTTCCCCTAAAATGTCAAAAAGTAAGTGATCAAATATATGTGTGTACATACAATTGTGTGGACATGTCATTGACTAAATATGCGCTACAACGCGCTCAACTTTTGTTCCGAATCAGCTTCTTATTACTCATTACGACGCGACTATCTTCTCATTCATTCCCGCAGCTTCACTGTGCTTTAAACTGTGTGGACGCTGAGCATCGACCGCGTGGACGCTGAGCGGCTAGAGAGTTCCGTGTAGGTTGTCCCAATGCATTGAAACGAGACGAGTCATTGGATAAATGCTGGTTTTGTCCCGCCCATCGGACGCGCAGGGCGGGACAGTGGGCGTTGATCTGCTGGCCCAGACGCTGAGCTTTTCTGCATGATGATTGGATGATCTGTCTGAGGCTGAATTTCTTTTTGATTGACAGCGAAATGAGCCCATCACTGATCTTGTGGTGTCGGCATCCGTGGGAGCGTTTTTCAATTCTCATTCTGTTCTGAGTTGAACTGGAGACTTCTCATCATTTTAGCGACACTCTCTTTGTTGAAAGTGACTAGCGACAAATTAATCTTTAATTCCTGGTGGGTTTTATTGTAGTTGCTTGTGTTCGCAGACTGACTAATATCACCACAGGGTCACAGATCATTTTCTTGAAAAGGAACGGAGAGTAGAATTCACGTATAAAAAAACGGACACATTTCATGATGTCGGCCGAAATTGAGCTTCCCCTCCTTGACAGACCAGCATCCGCCACTAGTTTACAGTGCAACTGATCTGTAATTGATATTTGTGAATCTTTTTCTGTCATGCCTGGGAAGGCCTGTTAAACAGAGACTGTTTTTGGAAATGTGGGTGACCCAACATATCAACCATATCCATCCGATGTTGTAAAGGCGTGTCAACGAACACAGCCCCACAGCATCCAAAGCCTTTATCAACTCCAGGCGGATCTCATCCACTCCCGGGGCTCTGCCATTTTGAAGCTTTTGAACCACCTCGCTGACCTCGTTGGGACTCGTTGGTGAGCTCGGAGTCACCAGCCCTGCACCCATGGGACCCGAAAGGATTACTATGCGGTTCCCCCTTCACATGGGTTCACCATCTGTGGGAGGGGCTCAGGGGGCCAGGTGCTGTGTGACCTCGGTTGCGTCCCGAGGCAGAGAATGGTCCCTGATGGTAGAAAGGCATCTGTGTGTTGAATTCAGGCTAGCGGGGAGCAGGATGCATGGCTGAAGACAAAGGGGCATGGATAAGTCAGGAGAAAAGCTGAGCAATCAAAACAGGGGAAAATTCCAAAGTCTTCCAGGACTGGACAGCTGATCACGTTCAGCTGTTGGTGTCTGCAAAAGCCAAACCTGCATGCCACTTGCATGCAGACACGGGGGGTGGGGCTCATGGTGCCCAGATTATGGTAATTGTATTTTCATGTCTCTTCACATAAATTTGGGTGAGTGTCGTTCACTTTTTTTGGGGTTTTTTTCCAAAGGTTGACAGAATGTTTTTACTCTAGAAGGCAAACTTATGACGTGAACTGAATAACAATTATACCAAGTTTCGTTCTATTTTAACACTATTTTTTAATGTATATATTTCTGTACATATTTTGGCGGCCACCGGTCATGGTTTTGCAACATAGTGGCTTCTATGAAAAGTCTAAAGCTCTCAGGCTGGCTGCATTGCACTCTCACTCTTTTTTTCGTCCAAGAAAGAACATGAAACCTGAAGGTTAACGTCTTAATTATTGGAATAGTTGAAGATGACTTTCGTTTTTTAAATAGTACGATAGACCAAAAACCAGTCTAAAATGAATAATCTCGTCACTTAATGGCCTGAACTTCTTACGGGTGTTTTTGGCCCTGTTGATTCACCGCCACCAACAAACCACGCTGTGCTTTTCTGTCTGTTATTCATCAGCAAAATGGGTGTCCGTCAGTCACCGACCGAACACCCACCTCTGGAAAGAACATCAAATTACACTTGTCTGAGCAATGTAATTCCACATGATCACGACATAAATTTGTGTCTGTGATGAATTAATAATGTCCGCCCCTGAAGTAAATGCACACGCTGATGTTCAACCGTGTTGTTGTAGTTCATTGAAGGTGCAAATGACAGATAAACTTCATTTGTTTGTGCAAGATGAAATCACTGGCAATGGTTTTTTTTTTTCTCATCACAAAAGTGACGCAACACATGATGAACGTTAATCTGACTCGGTCTGGCATCGGCTGACAAACTGTTGCTCCCTGTCTTTTTCAATCGTTGTATAAAGATAGCTGACTCATTTACAGTCTGTAAATTCATGCTGCGATTTTCTGTGTTTTTCGTGTCAGATGCCTATCCTGTGTCTGAGGTGGTTTACACATGGACTCAGGATGCTGCCAAGTCCGTCGTGGTGGCAGACGACGGCTCCAGACTCAACCAGTACCTTCTGATTGGACTAACCGCAGGCACAGAGGACATACATACAAGCCGAGGTTGGTGTGTAGAATGAATGCAGAAAGCAGTTTCTGTAATCACTGGCGGTAGTGCCAAGCAATCATAAACAACCTTGTTGTGGATACGAACAGCCGACAGATTGCCATAAATGTCCTAAAATACCAGATTGCATTCAAAAGTTCATATTTTTAAGTGTGGGCCACATCATACGTTATTGTACTGTAATTTCCTTTTCTGACATAACCCTACAAAGGATCGCCGCTCCTCCATACACGCACCTCATCACTTTCTCTGTCCCCTTCTCTCTCTCTATCTCTCTGTGTGTGTGTGTGTGTGTGTGTGTGTGTGTGTGTGTGTGTGTGTGTGTGTGTGTGTGTGCGCGTACGTGCGCGCGCGCGTGCGTGTGTGTGTGTACAGCAAGTTTGCTCTGGCACTCGTCTGTGAGCGTATCAGCATGTACAGGTCCTTGGATGATTTATGTTTCCATACAAGTACATTTTATTGAGCATGGCTGATTAAACAAAGGCGAACAATAGTGGCGGTGGCAAAAAGTGCGAGGCAAGCGATCATCGTGGTCATGGCATGATAGGCCAGGCAATCTCCATGGGAACGAAGTTTTCCGTTGTCAAAAAGTTGAACTGTGGTGAGAAGGTGATTGTTTTACATGCCTGTGGAATGAATGGGTCAATGGTGAACGCCTTCCACCTCAGCGTCCTGACCTGAACTCCTCCATCCACCTCTTCTTCCCTCCTCCACCATCTATGTAAGCTTATTTATTTTCTTTTGACTATGGCAGACTGTACTGCACAAAAATGTCATAAAAATCGTTTTTCAATGTAATTAATGTTCAATCAGTATGTGTACACAGTATATAGGGTGTATCTGATATTATTTCATTCATTCTTTTTTTTTTTTTTTACTTTAGAAAAAATAATGTAAAAACAAAATTTTACTTGTCCCGACTTAAAAACAACTGGATTTGCAAACAACCTCTCGGAGACCGTTATGAAGACGACCTGTAATCAGCTAAACTTGGGAAACCCGTGGTTATATTTACAAAACTTGCTTACATAAAGATGAAAGTGCATTTGATTAATCCAGTTGTCATGTCTCCACCAGAAGCTATTTGTGTGCATGTCCACCAAACAAAATCCTCTCTACACAGCCAGTAATGGGGTCAAAAGGCAACGATGGAGAGCCATTTTTCAGCCAACAAACCACACTTTGTTTTCATTTCTTTACCTGCTGAAAGACATACTGTACATTGCGTGCCATTGGGAACACCCGATAAAGTGATGTAACTAATTCTAGATTAAAAGAAGGAGAAATGAGCGTGCGAGGCCGGTCGTAAATGTGGGAGCCATGATCGGGGGATCAGCGTCAATGAGCGGAGGCCAGTATGTGAGAGTAGCCTATCCCTCACACAACCAGCTGTCTGCGGGCCCTGGGCAGCCTTGTAAAACAACACTTATCCCTGGCGTGAGGCCGCTTGCGCACGCACACACACACACACACACACACACACACATACGCCACAGAACCAGAGAGAAGCCTCGGGTTAATCCTCAAGCAACACCCGCCCACCCCCACGGCCACCATCCAACCAACCCCATCAGCTTTTGCATAAGAAGATGACATCACAGGTCAGTGAGGGATTGGTTGGTTGGTGCAGTAGCCTTCAGATTTGTCATTATGACCGTCCTGACTAGGACTTCGGAAAAGTGAGGGAAGACGACTTGGAGGCAAGCTGGTAATGTCTGAGTTAGTTTTGGCCTGTGTGAGATTTAATTATCTGATAACCGGAATATTTGTTCAGCTTGCATAGGAACATAAACCTGCATGGATGTCAGAATGGGATTGGACAGCCAGCTGTGACACGTGGGGGGTGATGCGGGGGTGGGTTGATGGTTGTTGAAAGGCATCTGCTTAATACTCTTATGTAAAAGCGAACTGTAATACAAGTCTGTCTAGTTTGTAGTCGAATCATTATTCAAAGTGTGCATTTCGCCTGCTTTTTATTTTTAAGGCATGCGCCAAGCCCAATATTGCCCACTGATGCGATGCTTTCACACGTGTGTACACATATGTAAAATAGTGTTCCAATTAGGAATGCCTGCCACGCCTGCACACCAACTATAAACCCCAGTCAGCAACACACTATAAATCATTGTTGTTGTTGTTGTTGTTGATATGCGCAGCACAGTATATAAGGTCACTCCATACCCTATTTTTAGTGATGGGAATTCCATCTCTTTGGCTTGGCTTTCTGAAAAGAGCTGTCTCTTTCGCTCCCAAAAACAGCAATTCAACTTTTTGGCAACTTAAATCAAATTATTCCCAAAAAAATAATGGAAATGTATGCATACAAGTTTTTTTAAAAAGTTCATTTTAAAATCATGCCTTTATTTATTCACTCAATATCGACCTAAAAATATCAAATACTAAAAAACTTCCTGTAACTATTTACACCTGAACTCTTAATACTTTTTTCTACGAAACAAATTTAAAGTAAAACAACAGCGAATCACTCAAAAGCAACCAACACAACCCAATAAAAATTAAAGGGGAAAAAACGGCATCCAGAACTCATCTGGTGTTAAGATAGACATTGAGGAACACCGAGGTCATCAGCCTTGAGGAGCTGATCCAGGTTCCAGGTCTGCCTCTCTGGAAATGACCTGCCGTGTATCAGTGAAGATTCTCTGTCGAGAGGCTAATGTTGTTACAGTGCAGAAACAGTTGCATTCGACACACCAGCACCTTCATTAATATCAATACAATACAATACAATCCATCTTGAGTTATATAGCGCTTTCACAACAGCTGCAGGTTCAAATGATTCTCTCTAATCTTCCCATCGCATGGAATGGGTGATTGTAGCCGACAGGTTGTTTGTGGAGCCAGCTCAGAGGTCCTTGAGTTTCAGCCAAGTTCAATTCAAGACTTTTCAAGACTAAATCATTCCAAATGAAAAACAACACTTCACAACGTTCCAAATGTTGTCCAAAGTTGCTACAGTAGCAACATAAGTGACATGCATCTGCTCTTAAGAGTCCTCACAAAAACCACATCACTGCTTTGTTGGCTCAGCTGCTGTAATTGGGCTTGTACACCACGTAGTATTATATATCTGTGTGTGTGTGTGTGTGTGTGTGTGTGTGTGTGTGTGTGTGTGTTCATATACATATATAGACAGAGAGAGAGCGAGAGAGAGAGAGAGAGAGAGAGAGAGAGAGAGAGAGAGAGAGAGAGAGAGAGATATGGCACACTTTTTTTTCCTGCTATTACTATTTTGGGGCTTCCTAATTTTTTTTCTGGTTGTTCTTTCGAGTTAAATTTATCGTTATGTGATTATTTTTTTCATGATTGTCCTGCCCTGGTATGGGGTGTGTTAGTGCCCATGGCATGGGTAACTTGAGGAGCCGGACTTGGGCACCCCTGCCTTATAGGAAGGGAACACGCAGACGTGAATCAGCAAGGCGGGCAGCGCAGCATCTCGACATACATCACATAACTCCTACTCTGGCATCCCTTCAGTGGCTC